CCCTGCATCTTGTTACGGGTTTGAATCATAATTTTTAAATAAACTTTCATACATATATTTTATTTTATTCTACTTAAAAATATTTTATTTTAATCCCTAGACTCAAAATGACTATTTAAATTCTTATCGGTAAATTTTATACAAATTTTAACGTTTTGAAAACATTTTAATACAAATTTATGGATACATCTCCAGAAATTTAGTGAATGGATTGACATGCTAAAATTCTAATAGAAATAAATGAGATAAAAATAAAAATGAAAAGAGACTAAAATAGTTACTCAATTTCAAAATTACAAGACTAAAATAAACAAAAGTTGAAAAAATAGGGACCAAAATTAACCTTTGATCTTCTCATTAAAAACATATGTCAATTATTGCTAAACTAAATTATGTTTGAGACTAAAATCATATTTAAATCTCTATCAACACTTTAATATTATATATATGACCTTTTTTTTTAATACAACATATGGAGTGGGAGATTGACCTCAAACCTCATAGTTGAGGATATGATATATACTGGGATATAAATAACACAATTTTGTTATAAAGGGAGAAATAAACTCAAAGTTGTAACTGATGGGCTTTTAGAGCCCAATTGCGCTCCAACCTGTAGAGGCCCACAAGAGCAACTCAAAATTAAATTTACCTACCCAGGTGAATTACATGGAACATAGTTAGAAGTTTATAATTAGAGGATGTTATTTACGAGAGTGTAAACTACGGTAACCTATTAAATTTAAGCTTTTGGATTCACAGGTAATTTTGTATTTTGTATTTTTTGATCTTTTTTCTTTAAGATTTATGTGTAATGCAAACTCAATTATTTTTTTTTTCTTTTAAAGAAACGAGTTCTCATATGACAAAATTTCCTTATTTAATACAGTATTTTATTATTCTTATTTTATAAGTTATAATTATAATCCTTATTTAGAATTCTTCTGTTTAGATTCTACCATTTTCATGATATTTGTTTTAGTTTCTAAAATTTAAAGTTTTTTAAATTTTGATTCACACATTTCTATTGTAGTTCTTGAATTAAAAATAAACAAAATAGGCGTTCATGATAATAAAAATGATAAAAATTATTGTTTTTCGAAAATTTAGAAACTAAAATAGACAATTAAACAACTATGATACTAAAATAATTAGATTTGTTTACACGAAATTTTTTTTTAATACATTTGGAAATTCGAATTAATGATCTTTTTGGTGGGGAAGATATGCCAATGATTTGAGCTAAATTCATGATTTGTGTTTCGAAATGTCTAAAGTTTGGATTGAGAAATAAAAATAAAAATATTATTAGCCAAAGCGAACATATCAACGGTAATTGACACACATCTTCATTGCGAGTTCGATCTCCCACCCCATATATTCCATATATTGTACTAAAAAGAAAAAGAAAAATATTATTTTAAAAGATACATTTACATGGTTTCCTTTTCCTCTCCATATATTTCAGAAAACTAGAAGAAACGAGAAGTTTCTAGAAGCATGTCAGATTAGATATTTGTTATTCTGACAAGTGGCAGAAGCTTCTGACAAACATCTGAAAAGTTTTGGCGCATTACTAGAACTTTCCATTCCGACGCCATTAAAGTTCAGTTTCTTCCCTCCATTACCATTACAATACAATCAAACTCTAAAACTCTCTCGTTCTTCGAATAATCTCACTCATCAAGCTTCCATTAATCTTACAATTACAAATTCCCGATCAAAACAATGGACAAACTGAAAGTTAAAGTGGAGGAGCCGATGGCCGCCGGCACGGCGGCGGGCGCGTCGTCTTCTTCTTCTTCATCGTCTTCGAGCATCACGCCGCAGCCGATCGACGGTCTCCACGATGTCGGTCCGCCTCCATTTTTGACGAAGACCTTTGAAATGGTGGAAGATCCATTTACGGACTCCATTGTTTCGTGGAGTAAAGCTCGCAACAGCTTCATCGTTTGGGATTCTCACAAATTCTCAAGTACCTTGCTTCCTCGATACTTTAAACACCGTAATTTCTCCAGCTTCGTTCGTCAGCTCAATACTTATGTAAGTTCTCATTGCACCGAATTCCAATTTTCGATTCTGTTGGTTCAATTCTGAAACCTGCTCTGTTTTGAGCTTTCCCCCCTTTCTAAAGATTCTGTGGTGGAGAATTGGAGAATACAATTAATAATCGTCGTCTTTCTCTTTATTCCTTTATATATTTCTTCTTCGTTCTGCTGAAATACTTTTAAATCTTGAAAATCTAATCTCATTGATGTTGAAATTCTTCAATGTAGGGTTTCCGGAAAGTTGATCCTGATCGTTGGGAGTTTGCGAATGAGGGATTTCTCGGAGGACAGCGGAATCTGTTGAAAACTATAAAGAGGAGGAGGCATGCATCCCAGAGCTTTCACCACCAAGGGGGAACTTGCGTGGAGCTGGGGCAATTTGGACTCAAAGGCGAACTCGAAAGGTTGAGAAGGGACAGAAGCTCGTTAATGGCGGAATTAGTGAGATTGAGGCAGCAGCACCAAAGTTCAAGAGAGCAAGTAACGGCCATGGAGGATAGGCTACAGAATGCAGAGAGAAAGCAGAAGCAGATCATGACATTCCTCAGCAAAGCCCTAAAGAATCCTTCCTTCATTCAGAAATTTATCCATAGTAATCAAAGAAGAGAGCTGAGAGGCATCGAAATCGGACGAAAGCGAAGACTAACTGCCAGCCCAAGTGTAGAGAATCTCCAGGAAGAAAATGTACTAGTTGCTGTAAGACAAGAAGAAGTAGAAACTTTGGAGCCAGATATAGAGACGCTGTTAACGGTCAACTTAGAAGACGAGTCAAGCAGTGAGGTCAAGGACCCAGTTTCTGATGGCATTCCCATGGCAGCCATGGATTTGGGTCACTATGCTCCTGAGGAATTATGGGATGAACTTTGGACCGAAGATCTTGTGGCTGGATATCCAGAGGAGGAAGCCATAATCGTTGGTGATCAATCAGAAGCTGATGTGGAAGTGGAGGATCTGATAGCTGAACCCCCTGATTGGACTGAGGACTTGCAGGAACTCGTGGATCAAATGGGTTTTCTCAGGTCGACACCATAGATACAGCAACTCAGAGAGTGAAATCAATCATTTGCTCCTCGTCCTGTGGAATGTTTTAGCAGATTGTATGGAAGGAATGGTGGAGGTTGCAGAGGAGCCCCACATTGTTCCCGTTTCGCCTATATCCTTTAAAGTTCATTGGTTTTTTAATATGTACTTCAATATTATTGGTTGAGTTAAATTGGTTTATTGGTTACTTCTTTTCCTCCATGGTTTTATTTGCAGGCCTATGCAGAAAAGGAAGCGTGCGAGAGAAGATTCAGTCATTCACTGATGTATTAACCATTGAGTCAGAGTAATTTGCACATTCTTTAACTGAGAATGAATACTTGCCATTCTTGTGAAGAAAACTAGAACCAATTTCATGTCTCAAGTTCAGTGAGGTGCTTGTCAATTTTCGTGGAAGATTTAAACTACAACCAGTAGAGTTCTGATAAAATCTATTTTGTATCTTGAAAATCTTTTGCTCGATGATTCATGGTTCATAGTTGAGCTTTAATAATGTTAACCTCAGCTATGTACGATGGAACAACACCAAGTTCAGTTATCATAGATGTTCTTTGGTAATTAATTTCGATTGGCTGATTGATATCTTTTTCTGACAAGAAGAAGAAAGGATCTGATGTTTATTTCATCGGCTATGTATGAACTATAAATAGAGTTTTTCATATTTTTGGGGAATTGGTACAAGAAAATATCTGCTCTTTATTTCATTAAAGAAAGTCAATGATTCAGCTAAGCAAGATCTATACTTTTGGAATCATTTCAGGACCACAGGTAGAAAGGACAAGGGGTGAGTTAAATTTACATGTAAATGCGACCCAAATCAGAGTGTTAGGGGCCCCAGAGGGCAGGAGTCTAAACCCTTCTATATAGCAGCTGTCACAGGCACCCTTGGACTAGGGATTCCCATATATGAGAGCCTGGGGGACATCCTGATCTTCGGGCTGGGTCGTGGTGAAGGTATCGGAACAGAGCTGCCGAAGAGACCCGCTGTGGGTCTCGGTGACAAGTTAACTTGCTCCAATGCCCGTGCTTGCAACTCTGCTGGGTACTCCTTCACACACCCTATTCTTGGACCAACTCCACTGCTCCATCTGCACAGCAGGCGCTTTGGTATGTCTATCAATGGTGCTTCTTCGCTGCTACTCGGGTTCTCTTGCTGCTCATTAGTGGTCACCAACTTGATGGGTACTGCCAATTCAACATCGTCTGCAATCGTGTCGTCTGAAGATGTCGTAGATGGAGTTTCTTCGCTCGCATCTTTATATGAGTAACTGTCGTCATCTATGGAACACCTCTGTGTAATTGTGAAGCAATTGCCATTGGAGCATTTCAGCAAACAAGTTTGTGTGAAATCCTGAAAAGGAGCAGATATAGCAATCTGCATCCATGAAAGGGAAAAATTACCTTGACATTGGTCATGTCCACTGCATGTTCTTCAAGAAAACTTATGAACTCCTTAAAATTGTTCTCTGTTGGGAGGTAATGACCACTGTATGGCCATATAGCCTAAAGAAGATTCAAATGGAAACATTAAAGCTCAATGGAAAGAAAACTCTTCAGAATTACATATTTTAATTGAAAATGAGATCATCCAAAACAACACCCAGATGCCCAAGCATTGCAATATGCCACCTTGAGAACTCCATTGATGGCAACCAATCTTCCAGCAGCTGTGATGGCCCCTCCAGACAGGAAGCTGGAGTGCTGAAAACGACCTTTCTTCTTCTGCCCTACATACAACTCTCTTGACGTGCTGAGTACAAAAATGCACTTGGAATCTTCAACTGTGTTGATGGGCATTTTGCTTTGCCTGTAAATAAGCTTCCCATCCTCCACAATCACCTGATATTCCTCCCTTTCTTTCTGCAACAGAAATGAAGAAAAAGCAATTACTTGCTGCTAGCAACGGAATCAGGTCAGTGAGAGTGGGGGACTTACTGGTCCAAGGTACTTGATGCATTGCTTGTACAGAACTGATCTAGGGCACTTCTCAAGATTTACCCTCTTCCCGTCACCAATATCCAACCTTTAGAAAGAATGTTTTGAAGGATAAATATGAAAGCTTTCTATAAGGTACATGGGGAGAATTGCCTGCAGTTGGAGAGGGAAATTACCAGTAGAAAAAAGGTTGAGTGCTTTTGCTGTCAAACCAAACATCATAGTAAAAATGCAAGTTGTGTCCATAGCGGTGGCGGGGATCGATCTGCTCGAAAGGGAAATGAAATCAAATGTCAAAATGCTGCTTCCCAAGCTCCTAAGCTTTGATTCCTTAGAAGTAGAATGTTGAGTTACAACAAAGATGAACATCATCGAGTTTGTTCAATGGTGATCTAAAGGTTTGTTTCTGAACATTGAATTCATATCTTATCATGATGTACAGTAAACGAAATTTTCAAAGCTCATCCGACATGATTGGTATGTAATAAGATTTCTTTCTTGCAGGTAACTCAGATGGCACTTTCAGTTTCGGATGACAATGTTAAAGAGTTCAAATCATATGAACTTACTGCTTCAAGCCAGTGTTGCAGAGCTAGTTTTTGAGCATTCTCATCCTTTGACAAACCTTTTCCAACCTAAAAAATTGAGAACATTATATCAGTTTCCTAATTCCCGCCTACCCAGAAGGATGCCACACACCAATAATTTACCTTAGCAGCTCTTGTCCTCGCCCGGGACCAACGCGATGCAGCTGTTTCCGTCTTTTCGACATCGAAAAATGACACAGAGCTCACCTTGAGAGCTGCAAAGTCTAAAGCTTTCCACCTTCATGGTTCAACGAACAGTGAGAAACAAAGCATATTCAACTTCTCTAAACCAAAACAAGAGAAATAGTATTATTTCAGAGACCATAGTTCCTCAACCACAACTGCACAATCTGCCAAGTTCCTTCTGGTACGGTAGCTCTTGTAGACCTTTTGTAGCTTAGTTGCTGCAGAATCAAGCTCACTCACCGGCCTAGTGGAAGAAATAACGACCGGTTTGGGAAGTAAAATTCTGGGTTTTCTCAGATTTTCTGGCCGTCGAACTTTCCTCTCTGATGAGGAGAAGTCTTTCGAGTCAACGGCCATATTATTGAAGGAATCAGACACTTGATTTAGTTGCAGATTCTGAAATTTTGGTGGGTTTTCTGCTCTGATTCTGCTACCATCTCCTTCTTCCGTTTTCAAGCTAGATTTCTGGACATTCATCTCTCAGCTCTGCAAATCTGAAGGCAAANAAAAAAAAACTGCTCATTTCTGAGAAAAACAAAAAACCCAGATGGAATTTCAAAAAAAGATTGAGTTTCAGAACCTGAAATTGAAATCAAGACCAAGAACGTTGTTCTGTTGTGTCTTTGTGCTGGAATGGAAGAAGAAGGAGGCACTTCTACAGGAATTTATCGTTTTGTAATGGACATGTTGGTATGTTAATTTAATGGCGCTTTCATTTTCTGGGCCAACAGTCGTTGTCAAACTGGAGATCGCAGTCGAAAAAAGAACAGCCAGAAATTGTCATGCATTAATCTAATCTGGACGACGTTGGCTTTGGAAAAAGGTAAATTATCCCAAGTTGATTACTTGTTTATTATAATGAAATAGTGGATTAAATAATAATATTGGACAGAAAAGCCAGCCATGGAAGCTCTGCAATCCATGGTGTCGTCTGCAAGTCGCTGGCAGCCATTATTGAAGTTGAAGGTGATTTATAAATTCTAGCTACCTCCTTCGTAAGGCAGTTGAGAGTCCATAAAATCACTTTCTGTTCATCACTTACCCAAATATTTATATCAATTTATACTTGGGCTGCCTTTATTGAACAAGTTTTTGTGCTTTCAAAAAAAGAATATGCTTATTTATTTTTTGTTTCTCTGCTCTATTACTCTATTTTAATCTAAAATTTAAAGATTAAATTGCAAATTTAGTTTGCAAATTTAGTTTTGGATATGCTTCAACTTTAAGATGTGTCAAACTATGTCCTGAAGTTTTCTAGTTAATTTTAATTTAATTTTTTTCCTTTTGAAACTAGATATTCTATGATATATTTTTAAAATATATATATGGTAACAAACTAAACTAATTTTGAAACTAATTATTCAAATAAAAATGATTAGTTCATTTTTCTACCGTATTAATATTGTTATTTGAAATTGAGAAAAATATAACAATTTTTTTTTCTATTTTTAAGTTTATAAATATTTCTTTATTTTATAATCTACATTTAAAAAATATCTTTAAAACCCAATTCAGATTTTGAAAATTTAAAAATATAGTTTTAAAATTTTGTTTTCATAGCCTTGTCGTTTTTATTTTTTAAGAAAGGTAAATAATATATTAACGAAATTGTGAAATTTTCAAAAAATAAAAATAAAAATAATTATTAAAATAAAGACATTGTTTAATAGCTATTCTGTTTTACGTTCATTTGTTTTTTAACCAAAAGAATGATAGATAGCTAATTATCGATAGTGCTTTAACTGCATCGACCTAGTGCCAACATCGAAACAGTGTTTTATCTCCATTGTTGCATCTCCAAACTAGATATTAATTTTTAAAATTCTATTTTTATTTCTAAAATTTAACTAAAAATTAAAATGTCTTCGGAAGAAAGATGAAAAGAGAAAGCAAACATTATTCAAATTAAGAACAAAATATTTGGGCTCTGATTTAGAATGTAACTAGAGTTCATTAATTAAGAAAGTAATTTTTAGTAAGCTTTTTAAAAAATTATTTGAGTGGTTTTGACAGCACAGACATATTTGAAACATGTAATTTAACTACAAAAATAGACAAAAGTTAAAATATATAGAATAAAATTGATAAATTCAAACTACAAGAACTAAAATAGACGGGCATTCAAACCTCTATATATATATATATATATATATATATATATATAACCAGCAATAAGTTTACTTTGAGGATTTAGTAAATCTTCAATTTGACTAAGACAACACAAATATAGAAAATTGGGAGCATATATGTTGTAGGTTCAAGGAGTAAATCAAACTTGTACTTCTTGAAGCACAGAGCATGAAAGGCAGCTAATATATGTTTATCTAAGATTAGCAATTTCTTTACTAGCAAAGACCAATTACAAAGGTGTTTCAGAGAGAGCGTCGACGTCATAGGAGAAGGGGTTGATTTATGCAGCAGAAGATATCGATGCAGCCTTCTGCCGAGGCGGGATGTGGAGCCATAACTTCATGCTATCATATGCTGCAAATCCAATGGCCACAGAAGGAACAATCTGCCAATTTTCACAAAATGGAAGAGTTACATGACAGAGTTATAGCATTCTTCTCATTTTTCTTCACAGTAACAGGTATGCTTATTTATCCCCTCATTTTCATAGTTTTCTCAGCATTTTTATTTTCACTATTTGTACTCTATTGATCTTTGTATAATCTATTATTCTTGTTCTCTTCTTTTTTAGGTGTATTACATTGTTGGATCCTGTGTTTCTACTGTTGT